AAGCAAGCTATCTGCATGATCTGTTGGAGTACCACCATGTACAGTTTGTCCAGCTTTATCCACATGCATCAATAATTCCAAAAATGCATTMTATCTTGCATTATCCAGACACAATGTTAAGGTAAGTACCATTACTGATCATTATTATTATTTTTATTGGTAATGCAGTAATAATGGTAGCATTCTAGTATCAAGAAGTTACTACTTTATACTGGTAGTTATACTAGCACTGTATTAAATTCATCTTGCCCAGTCATTCTATTCATTTTTTCAAGTAAAACAATAAAGTGGTTGCAGAACAGAAGCTAATTTAATAATTGCATCCAGTCATCAGTTGTAATAACCCTGAAGAACGTGTAAATTTCTCTTGCAATCATTATTTCCCAGTTTTTAATTTTCTTTATTTGTTTTATATTAGACTTGGTCCTATGATGCGGACATGGTGTATGCGGTTTGAAGCTAAGCATGAGCGCCTAAAAAAACTGGCCACAGGAATTGGTAATTTTACCAATATTCCTTGGACACTGGCAACTAGACATCAGCTAAGGCAGTGTTATGACATGTCAATAAAGGAAGGACATCCATTTATTGAAAAGCCTATAGAGATAGGACCAGGTACATCACAGTATATGAGGGTCCTAAAGGCATAGAATGGGACTGGGATTTGCTATATAACCCTCCAGACTTTAGGCGTTCATTCACCTCTCTTTTTAAAAAGCCACCAATCACAGTTTTGCGGAACTTAGCTCATTAAATGACTGATGATATTTGAAATGGTTTGTCAGACTTATGAGTGTCCACTCTTGAGTCGCACTGTAATTCAAAACAAATAACAAAATACTTGACAATCTCTGCTTTATTCCAGGCGAACAAAGAGAAGCTCATACTGTTGGCTACTTTGACCTTCTTAAAGAAAAATCAAACTCTGTAGATGATGACACTATGATTCATGAGTATGTTCTTGTTTCTTATACTTAAATTTAATCATTAACCAAAATTAATATATTTATAAATGCTGATTTAATTGTTTTAGAGCCAACTGGTGTACTATACATGGAACAAAATACAAGAAAGAAGYTTTTGTACATATTGGATTTAATGGCTTAATGCCACGTTTTGCTGAAATAAAGAAGATATGTACAACAAATATACAGAATCTGGACAGGAATTTGTTTTTTGTGCTAAAAGACGTTGTGACAACAAATTATGATAGTCATTTCCACGCATATAGAGTTCGACATATTCAGCGAGGAGAGAAAAAAGTTGTCAGGCAGTGTGAGTTTGTGTCATTCAGACCTGTTCACTTCCTTGAACCAATTGGAGGCAATGGAGATAAATATGTGTGCCCCAAAAATGATATTGACATATATAATGAGCAAATTTAGAATAGTATGTATATGTGATTTTTAATTACATATTTTTTATAATAAAAATATATTATATAACAAATGAAATAAAGTGTGTTTACTTTTAATTCATCGATCAATTACTTGACCAATGAACATGAGCAAGGTACTAAGGATATAGAATAACAGAATTCGATTGACGTTAATGCTAATGTTTCTACGGAGCTTGGTGGTCAAGTTTTTTCTTTTTTTTGTGACAAGTCAATCAGAATAATAAAAGGGGGCTTTCGACCTAATCTAAAACGACTGCATTTTAAAACACGAAATCTGTGTGTGTTCATCTAAACCTTATCACCCTTATAGACCAAGCTCCTTCTTGATAAGGTCTTTATGTAATATATACAATATGAGCGGGTGATCTGTATGTAATATACAACTCTCTTCATGAGCTATGATTTCTATTGTGTTTTGCCTTATGAATATTAATGAGTTTTATAAGGCTTTGAACAAGACGGCAACTAATGTCAGGAGGACATATGCAAAAGTGAGGAATAAAATAGGGCTGTTTCTTTCTAATGCATTTCTCNATGCAGAACACACCAGGTTGTGGATCTGGATGTTTGGGTTTTTCTGCTGTTGTGACCGCAACTCGAGGTGTCCTTGAGGTGGCGAGAGATGATGTTCCATGGGCCGGGTTCCACGATGACGGTGCTGAACAGTTTGGTGTCGATTGGGGTGCAGGAATGAAGGATGATGCTCCATAGGTTTGGTTCCACGATGACGGTGCTGAACGGTTTGGTGTCGATTGGGGTGCAGGAACGAACGATGATTTAGTTTTTAGTTTATGTACAGTTCATTTTATATTCTATTTATGTTATTATTTTTTTTTTTTTGGGGGGGGGGGGTGTTCCGGCCGTTTTCCGTCATGTTCCGGGGTGTTCCGCCGGTGTTCCGGGGTGTTCCGGCCATGTTCCGGGGTGTTCCGGTGGTGTTCCATGTTTTACAGACACCCATACTCGTCAAAACGTTTGGTCTAGTGCAAACGCGCCCTGGGTAGTGGATCGTCATCCGAAGATCTAGAAGACATAATTAGCAGCCCGCGCTTGACCTCGCAAGTGTTTGTGACTCGTACACCGCATGGATCGTAATTCAGCTGTGAAATCTGATGTCTTTGTAACTTTGTATACATTGACATCTTTGAAATCTGATATCTTTGCAACTTTGTATCTTTGTATCTTTGTATCTCTGTATCTCATTTTAGTGCAGGCCGTAAACACAGTATGTCCGTTCAAAGCCACAAGTCATGACAAGTTAACGAGTCAAGACCCCAGGAAATCCTGGACACGGTTGAGTAAACAGAGTAAGTGCTGTTCAAATCCACGAGTTACAGAGTAAATCCCGTTCAGATCCACAAGTTAAATCGTTAAAGAGTCAATATACTGAACAGATCTGGACACGCGATCATCGTTCGAGGTCATGACAGATTCTAAAATCCGAGGTTATATTTTCTTAACTGTCCTTCAAGGAACAAAAATCACGGCTCACGCTATAAAAAAAATTCACGCCTCACGGCTATTTTTTTCGCATTTTCACGACTCACGGCTAGTTTTTTAGCCGTTTCACGGCTCACGGTTAACCCCATTGAGACCCTCTTAAATTTACAGAATTTTGGACACTTACATCATATTTACATCAAATTTACAACCTTTAAAGCGCGCGATTTTTTCCAGTGATGTGTTATTTTGTTTCCCATTCCCAGTGGACAAAACCACAATCCCAGTGCATCCAATCCCGTTTTACCAGCCCAAAATCAGGCTGATCCCATTCCCATTTTACCCCTTCAGGACCCTCCTAGAAGGTAACGCTATTTGAGCTTTGATATGTATAGGGTAAATTCATTGTGTCTTTCGACTTATTTTACGGCCTCTAGAATGAGTGTCACAATGCAAATATGATCTCAAAACATACAATAGAGAGTATTCTTAATATAATGACTAGAAATCGGAACATAACACGAAAGCTTTTTATATATCGAAATTTTACTTKAAGTATCTTTGTGTTCTTGAGCGGTTATATTAAAATGTAAATTTGGACTGAAGTCTAATAACGTGACGTCAGAGATCCCTTGATTTCTGCTAATGATGACAATCAGGACGCTGGAGTTGTAAGTTAGCTCATAGTTTGGTGGATACTAATTACGAATTGAATCAATCGTTTATTAACAACAAATGTGGTCAATAGGGAATTACTCTAGCCACTTTACCTGTGCATGACTATTCAACCAGAATGTCATAAGTACCATATTAACAGTGGGGATTCGTGTGTCAAGTTTCTTGACCACCTTCAATATAACACCTTGATTCTTTGTTCTAAGTGATATGAACGTTTTAATTTACCCGTGGACTAAAGTATGAGCTAATTACAATTTTTAGGCGCCAATCTATATTAGATATGTGTTATTGACGGCATGAAGATTCTTTCGCTCTTTTATCACTAAAATTTAGTTTAGGATATCCCGGTCCGAAGATATCAAAAACATGCTCGTTATTGATGGAGCTAGTAAATCAACACACTTGTCAACTTATACCATAATCTCTCGAGCTCATTCACATTGTCTCAATAACAATAAAAATGTCATCTCGTAGTAGCAGTATCAGCTCCGTGATCATTTAAAAGGTGCAGTGAGCAATTTTATGTCGCAGTACAGGCAAATTCACTGTACWCGTCAGATCGAACTTGAGAATTTAATGATTTGTTAATTATTGTTCTATGAAATCAACTATATCAAGTGGAATATTTTTACTTATCATATAATCTATGAAATACCTATATTTCTTTATTTGTTTGAAACACGCATTGTTGGGAGAACACGAAAATTGTTTTGAATCACGAGCTGAATGCTCTCATAGAAATACGGTTTTTCTTTTTGCACATTTCAGCCAATCATTGCGCGCTTTACATAACACTTATTTTCGAATCAAACATGCGAAACAGATAAGTATTTTCAAGAAATTTGAACAGATTTAGAAGGATTTCTAATGTTAACAGCTAGAAAAAAATCTCTTTTGATGGTATTCCCAGCGGTGTTAGGTGCATCATGCATTTGACCACCATCAATATAGCACCTGGATCTTTGTTGTTTGTTTGTTGTTTGTTTTCATTTACGAAATGCACGAAATTCGTTTAAAATAAGATTTCAGAATTGTTTTGTTGATTCGAAATCTAAAAGTAGTGTGCTACAGAAATCCTACTARATACCTCTGAATTATTCAAATTCTATTTTTTTTTTGTTTGGGGCTCTTTTAGTGTTTGTACTCTAGTGATTGGTGTTTTGATATGAGACTTTTTTTTACACTTTTAGAAAACAATTAGCGAAACGTATCGACATGAACAAACAACTTAAGTGTCATAACTAAATAAATAAATAAGCATTGCTTTGCTATGATCAAAAGATGTGCAATTGTTGTTATTACCTAAGTTAAAAAAATAAGACTTCGATGCATGCAGCTTTTAGAACCTCTTTCGAAACATTTGCTTGTTAGCTTGTAAATAAATACAATTGAAAAAAAAATTCAACAAAGCAAACAAATGACAAAGATTTTTGTTTACAGCTGGCCCATTCGATGATTTTTTTTCCTTTTTTTTTGACTGATTTATATAAAAGATGTTAGACTTAATAGTATTGTATTCATAATTGTTGGCTCGATTCTTTCTTTTTACAAATTATAGGGTGAAGGCATTTAGAGTGATCGCACTTATAAACCGTGCTATCATTAATAGTGCTATTTATCTGTATTTAGTAAATCGTGCGTGCGGTACGCAAATTAAATTGAATTGGTACAAATGAAGCATTCAATACCGTCTTTCTTCAGGTCCACTTTTAGTACAAATTAGTACTACTTAGATTTTGTACATTTGCACGGTTTAAGTCCATAATATTGTACAAAATTAAAATAGCATAAATTTGTACAAAATCAGTAGAGTACAAACACTAAAACTGTGCAACATAAATACCACTAAATACTGCTATATTATGCTATTCTATTGTTTTCTATTGTACTATTTTGTAGAAAATAGTGGAAAGTGTTGCACACATTTAATGTGTGTACTCTAACTGAAGCGGAATATCCAAGAGCAACATGTACAAAATTTCAAAAACAAACAAAAAAAATATCACAAAGACGTATAATTTCACGGATTTATTGCGTTCACTAAATTTTTCTTCATTTTTTAAGGTCAAAGAATAAAGCTTTTGAGCAAACATTAGTCAATAATTCAAGATATGTAGTTATTGACCGTGAAAGGGGCGGTCAAAAATGTCATGATAGATCCCTGAATCACTGGGCCATTGTCATGATAGCACATAAATATGGATAAGTACAGATGTTTTATGATCTCGTCAGATCAAGAGCTATTTGAAGGGTAAGTACAATTTTAGAGCAKACCAAGGTGACATCCACTTGTTTTTGAGTTCGTAGCTACCAGAGTAGAGGAAAGCTCTTTTTGTTTTAAATCCTCACAAAAAAAAATCAAAAATTTAAGATTCATTGCTGATACTGTAGAAATATCTTTTTCTTTTTAAATTAATTTCCTTTTTAGAATTATTTCCTCTTATTTTTATTGTGTCATTGAATAGTAAAAATGAAATGAGTCGATCGGGGTTCGTACAGTCTTGAAAAGTCCTTGATTTTTGAGCTATCTTGAAAAGTCCTTGAATTTGGAGGAAAGGTCCTTGAAAGTGATAATTTAGTCCTTGAGTCAGTCTTGGTTGTTGTTAAGTAATGTTTTAAGGATCAATTTAGCCAAGCTTTGAAGCAAAATGATAAGAATTCGATCCTTTTTGCAATACCTGTTTGTACYATTGTCCAATATGGCGGCAAAAAAATTAATAGAGATCGAGGGAAATCTTCTCCAAAAGAGAAAGTTCTTCAACAAAGTTAAATTATTGTTGCTGTTTRGTAAGACACAGGTTTAGTAAGTTTACTGTATCTTTTCTCTTTTTAAATGGTGTCCTTGAAAATTTAACATTAAATCCTTAAAAAGTCCTTGAWTTTTGTATGAAAAAATATGTACAAACCCTGTTAACTGTATTTTGTGTCGTTTTTTAATAGCAAGAATTAAGTTCAAGAAGGACGTCATGAAGATCGGCATTTTTGTTGCGATTTCTTGCATCCTGCACATTACTGGTAAGTACAAAAAAAAACTACCTACTTATAGGGCACTAAGGGTGCTTGATGCGCTCGTATCTAGATACTTAAAGTGCTACTTGCACGAAGAAGCGCTAATTTCAGAACCCTGCGTAATTCAAATATATGACTCATATATACCTATAATACTTTCTTAGGGAAAAGTTTCGTTATGGAGTCATTCCAAAGCAGAAAATGTTTTGACTCAAACGAAGATAGAACAAAAGGATGGAGTATATGACGTCATATACTCCAAAATCTTTTCACAAAATCCCTAGGAAATTCTATCAATATCTTGCAAAAACACATTGCTTCCTGATTATAGGATCTTTATTGAATAGTCTACAAGAATTTCGTGCCTTTTCCAGTGTATCGCCATTTTTTATCCAAGTAGCCTTTTAACAAAACATGTTATTTGAAGTAAATCAGAATGATAAGGTTTTTATGCAGTGGGAACGATATGTAAAAATGCCCTTTTATCGAAATCTTGTTCTTACTGAATCTTTTCTAGTCCATTGATCTTTTCCTTAATTTGCTTTTCCATATTGGTTTGATATAATCTATGGGCTGTTCATCTCCTTGCCCAAAGCCGATTTCTTGTTATTAGGTCATGGTACACTCCATTGGGCTACTAAGTCATTTTATTGATCATTTTTTGATTTTTTGATCAAATTCACTAATATTAATCATACACCGATAAATAGTTTGTAAATTTAATATGTAAAATTCAATATTTTAGATTTTATATACTAGCGATTCCTATCGGAAGTGAAATGCTGCGATACGCAAACTTAGTAACACTTTTCGAAATTTAGATGTATTTGATTTTATGGAGAGAAGTTCTTGCTAAAATAGTGCATTTTAATTTCTTAATACAAACAGTAAGATATGTCAATGACAAAAGGAACACCATTAGAACGTATATGTACACACTTTATTTCGAAATTTAGAGCGCTTTTCGAATGCTGTTAAAAAGATGCAATCTCCTTGGCCAAAACACGATCGATCGTCTCTGTCGTCCACGTCCAAATATCATCACAATGTGCAGTTAACAAAGCTGAAAGACTCATAAAAGCACATTGTCTTCCCCTAGAAATGTCGCTAAAACGACTATCACCTTGATGAATACTTCCTCKAATAAATAAAGTCGCATTTAACATGATAAATACTTGTCAAACTAACCATTGCAAGATCGGAAAGCAAAAGAAAGACCATGCGGTTTACGACGCATTCATCATTTGATATTAACCGCTGATTATATGTAATGTTTACTGTAGGCGCTCAAAGTGTCTATCGCTAGCCCACGAAATCGACTTTCGCCTTCAGTATGTACATGTATGGCACAGGGACTCCGAAAGGTCTGCGAGATTAGTGTCGCTGCTCACTTCGTTCGCAGCAATTAGCTTTTGATGTGTAGTATTCAGTTTTCTTATTGCAAATAGTTCGTCAATTCAGTTTTTTTTTATTGCAACAGAACTATTATCATTATTATCCCAGGTTCCCTAAGTGTATAGCAATTCCAGGTTATCAACTTTTTGTTTTGCTTTAGGTGCGATGCCAGTATTCGATGTCAGTGTTGAATACTTCTCTGGTAAGACCAATCCCAAATGGAAACTTGACCAAAGCAGTCCAAACTACACCGAAATCAGCAACCTGTATACAGTCGCTGAGAAAAGCAAACAGCTTTTCACTCTTGAAAACATGCCTTCTGTTTTGGGATACAGAGGTTTTGTTCTAAGCGATGGAAAGGACACCTATGTGCTAGTTGTTGGCCAGAAGACCGTACAATTGCAAAAGTTGTTACTAGAATCAGCCCCGAAAGGTCTCTTGAGCAGCAAGTTGTTGAGTACCTTGACAACAGCCATCGAAAAAGGGATTGAGCCCATTTTGACGCGAAGGGAACGACGTTCAACAAACTATCCACCAGGGAATACCTGGAAAGATGTAAAGGTTTTAAAGTGCAACAATTGTTATAACTATGGAACTGATAGACTATCGGCATTTCACCGTGATCGCGGACTACCTGGACTTGGCGGTGGACTAGTTTATACTGACCCTATCACGCCCGTTAACCTCAGAAATTCCGCTGTCCTCGATAGATTAATTGTGACACCAGCGGTTGGAGGGAATATCCCTGTGATCCCTCAACACCAACAGGCTGCTAGGCATCTTGTGGCACTAGTTGTTGCTCAAGGTAAGAAACAGTCATTTGCAAAAAGGTTGTGGATGAAGATATGTACTTATACACATATGTTAGAGCGGATTTCGTATGAGTGGGAAACCGTTACCGCACGGTTACCGCACGGTTACCGCACAGTTACCACACCTGGCCTGCACAATTTTGGTGAACCAATGGGGCACTAGAATTTGGTTACAATACAATACAATACAATAATCTTTATTAATTCCTCCCACTGGGCTTTTCAGAAGATTACGGTCACAGTACAGTACCGTCCGTTTCCCACTCATACGAAATCCGCTCTATGAGATTCATAAAATACCTAATGACATGAGGAAGTTCATTCAAAGGCTTCAGTACTCCAAATCTGTGACAAAGTACAACCAATAGGAACAGCACCTAACCGATGAGATCCCATGCCAATGAGATCGCGATATATATTTTAATGATTTTGAATTTAACATTTGAGAAATCACCGTTACCTATATTCCAACAAATTTTAAGGATTTCGCGGGGTTTGTGTTGCCTTGAAATTGTATTTTTACCATAACTTGTAGAATTCTCGCGCGCTGATTGGTCTAGAGCCGTTGTCGATCGTAGGACAGACCGATGAAATGACGAATCGCTCGCGTACGGAGCCGGCGCGCGCCAGAAACGATTTTGTTTTGAAAGTTTTACTTTGTTTTCGGCTTTGTTATGGTAAAAAACAAATCGATTTCGCTTTTCTATGGTCTGTACGCTTATCGACAATGAAAATGGCGTCAGAAAATGATCAAAACTTGCTACGCTCGTGGTTCCACTTGAGTTTTGATCATTTTATGACGCCATTTTCATTGTCGATAAGCGTACAGACCATAGAAAAGCGAATTCGATTTGTTAATTAGACATACTTCTGCATCTCATTAGGTATACAATGAATCTAACTATTTATTTAAATATATCACTACATACCTATCCCAGTGAAACGAAAAGAGATGGTTGAAATGTTGTATGATCTTTCGGGTGCGAGGAAGTAAAGACAAAGCCTGATGACAGCAAAAGACACTATTAATGTCCTACAATTTTATTAAACCGTAGAATCTTTTCCTGGAGCCGATGACGATGATTTTCACTGGTATCGTCTAGATAGCAACAACAACGGCCGCTGGTCGCATAAACCTGGTGCGTCACCAGTAACAATTCGTGATGGGAACAACAATTACATCCTCGATCCGCGAATTGCAGTTAACGACCCACTTGGTCCTAATTACGTTTTTGACAATTTCATGACAGTCCCAAAAAATGTTGTCACCGTGCAAGGTGAGGTGGAGAATTCGTGTTAAATTCACGAATTTGCTTTTTAATCGATGTTGAAAACTGGGTTATGGCGGCCTTGAAGGATTTTACGAGCGGCAAGTGCATGATTTGAGTCATTTCAGGAAGTGTTCTTCGTTTCTAGATAAGAGACGTCCAGAACTTACGTAGGCTATGAATGGCAAGCGCTAATAATCATGATCATTTTGACTTCGGATAAAGATAATGATATATAAACGTTGATTGTGTAGCACTAGGAAATACACGAGCTAGAAAAAATAGAAACGTATAGTGCTTGAGAAAGAGGGTATTTCGGGAGAAGCAATATATTTTCATGGGTCTTTCGCCCGGAATAACTTTCTCACTATAACTTTCTATTATTTCTAGTTCATAAGTTTAATTATACATAAGATTAAGTGTAGTATTAACATATCCGATCTAAAATTTACGGTAAAGTTCGTAAATGAAGCCACTACATAAAAAGCTAACATCATGTTTTGAGTAGTCTAGGAAAGAGGATCCAGACTTTAATAGTAGAAAGTAGATTTTAGTTTTTGAAATAGACTATTAGGGACTGAGAAATACTTATCAGGAGGGGGTTGATAATCCAGAGCGTTATGTATTAACGGGTAGTGATTAACTTTTTTGATTTTTTGATCTTTAGCTTTAATTTCCCCTGCCCTCTCCCCCGCCCTCTCTCTCTCTCTCTCGAGATAAATATTACGCAATCCCTTAGGTTACATTAGGGGATATAACAATTATGATTGTGTGTTTTTGGTGTCAAAATGATCAATCCTCAACACTCATGCGATTCAATCTAGATTGCCAGATTACCAGGAACTGCTCAGATGATTCGCTATTTGCATATTTGTAACTTGCTGAATACCAATAATTCCTGTCAACCCCACTTCCCTTTTGTCAATGTTGATTGAAAAAGCATATCCAAAAGCCAATAAATGCAAAAATCAATAAAAGTCTTCATTGCATTAGTTTGTATTTTTAAAGTAGTTGGTAGCGCCCASAGTCATTTCGTTTTGATTTTGGCTCGTACTATGTTCTTGTTGACTGAGTGGGAGGGCCGTAATAGAAAATGTTTAGCTTATAGTCATAACKTACAGACAGAGCGTAATGAGGTCCGTACAAGTGACCGAGAGCCGAATATTTTCTCGTATTACCCGACCTCATGCAGTCAATAAGCATCTAGACATATCATCCAATTAACAAAATGCCAGAAAATTGACAAAAATACAGGTAAACTAGCGAAAAAAATTAAAGTGCAAGTGATCAAATGATGAAATTTCTATCCAAGTTCAGTGTTTCTTATAAGACTGCGCGATTAGGGCGGATACGTTTTGACCGTCGCGACAAATAAAGCAAAATGTTAAGCGTTTATGTTACATTCTGCTTGAAAATCAAAAATAGTTTAAATATAAAAATGCCAAAAAACTAGCAAAACTTTATGAATGAAACAGTCAGTGAGTTCTGAATAGAAATTTAACGTGACATTTGCACATGATTTGCCTTCGCAAATTCTGGGTCGGCGATGATGTTTATTTCTCGCTTTCCCAAAAAGTATCTTTGTAGACCAAAATGCAGACTTGCCATGGCATATTTTGTATCTGTCACCATTCTTTTTTTCTAGCATTAGCGTAGAATGTTATTAGCGGAGCTCCCGCGTGAGTCGAAGCGAGCGGAGCACCATAACTAAGGAAAAATGGTAAACCCATCGAGATGATTTTTGATCAACCGACACAGGAAGCCCAGTTGTCCTTCCGTCCGTCCGTCCGTGTACATCGCGATTCTGATTGGTTACTTTTGAGGCGGGAAAAGGAAGCGCGCTCGCCTCAATTTTTGAAAACAGCGTTCTCACCACTATACGACTCCATTTTGTCCTTTCAAACACTTCTGCGCCAAATGTCGGAAATTAGCTTATAATGCGCTTTTCGCCCAATTTTGGCATGTTCAGTAAAAACTCGTGCCACTTTCCCCCAACTCTTCGATTTCCATATCAAATTTTACTTTCCAACCCGTTAATTTTACTTGGAATCGGAACAAAATCTGTTTCCCAATTTAAATCTCCATAAAAGTTGAAACGAGAAATTAACAGCATACTTTCAAAATCTCACTAAATAACATGATTCCATGACTTACCGAATGTCGACTGAAGTGTTCTATTTGAGCTACATCGTATTGGAAAGACTACCGTTCGAGAAGAATTAATGAAAAATACCGCGCGTATTTGAGTGAGAATTAATACCACGAGTGCGAAGCACGACTCGTATTCCTTACTTTAATTAAATGCAAGCGGTATTTTAAATTTCATGAATTCTTCGAGAACAAAGTTGGTATTTSCTTTTTTCCTTTTTCTTTTTAACTGTGTAACGTAACAATGATTGAAAAGGTCTAATWGACCACAGGCTTACCAGTCTCTGAGGAGTTACGGGAGATGGGCTACCTGTGGCGACAAACTTAACGGATTTTCACATGKAGTCAAAATATCGTTTCTAAACCGTATCTTTTCATTCTTGAAAKATCAAAAAACTTCMRTAAAGATGGTTYAATAGTTTATGAACATTTTTGGAGGGGTTATTTTCGATTTTGATGCCGTTTTAGTGTGTTTTGGGAGGGTTAGATTTCGACCATCTCCAGAGTGAAGAGAAAAGGGTTAAAGGCTGGCAGCCGATCGCTCTCGGCCGGCCAACTGGTCAACTTCAACGCCGACTTTTTCCACCTTACGCCGGTCCTACAAAATCAAGCTTTTGGTATGCTGCAGGATAATAATTTTCCTACATCCTCGCCAAATTTCAGCTTCCAACGACCAATATCAACTGAGAAAATCGACCGCGAAGGTCAAAAATCCACCTTGTAAATATGATATGCACAAATTTTGAACTCAAAGGAATGTGGAAACGGTCAAATTTCGCCTCTCCCCCTCTACCCCAAGTCAAATTGTTCGTCGGTAAGAATCATTTAAAGCATTAAAAACTATTCCTTGGTTTACTAGAAAAAATACTAAAACATATTTCTTGTTCACGTCTTGTAGCAATGCGCGAGAATTGCATGTGTGCATGGTCAAAACAAATCTTAGTCCGCTTCATGACTGGTACTTTGGGGAGGGGGGGAGAGAAATTTGACCGTTGCCACATTCCTTTGAGTTCAAAATTTGTGCATATCATATTTACAAGGTGGATTTTTGACCTTCGCGGTCGATTTTCTCAGTTGATATTGGTCGTTGGAAGCTGAAATTTGGCGAGGATGTAGGAAAATTATTATCCTACAGCATACCAAAAGTTTGATTTTGTAGGACCGGCGTAAGGTGGAAAAATTCGGCGTTGAAGTTGACCAGTTGGCCGGCCGAGAGCGATCGGCTGCCAGCCTTTAACCCTTTTCTCTTCACTCTGGAGAAGGTCGAAATCTAACCCTCCCAAAACACACTAAAACAGCATCAAAATCGAAAATAACCCCTCCAAAAATGTTCATAAACTATTGAACCATCTTTATTGAAGTTTTTTGATATTTCAAGTATGAAAAGATACGGTTTAGAAACGATATTTTGACTACATGTGAAAATCCGTTAAGTTTGTCGCCACAGGTAGCCCATCTCCCGTAACTCCTCAGAGACTGGTAAGCCTGTGAATAGACGAAACATGTTTCATTCAAAGGTCTTGGTGTAGTGTGTCGAAAGAGGTGATTTTTAAAAACGAAAACAGTTTAACATATAGCATGAAACCTTTTAAAATTATTTTAGAAATATAAAACGGCGCGCGTGTCTCTGTCCTCTGATATAAACACGGTGGGAGTTCGAAAAACACGAGAGAAGCAATCTTAGGAACACGAGCGTAGCGAGTGTTTCTCTTGCTTCTCGAGTGTTTTTAACTCCCACCGTTTTTATATCAGAGGACAGAGACACAAGCGGCCGTTATATATTTCTTTTGTAAAATTTTTCGAGCGAAAAGCAAATTTTGCCGGTAAGCCGTGTCTCTGTCCTCTTATATWAACACAGTCGTCAGCCAATCAGAGCGCGCGTTATATATCAAAAATTTTAATCGTATGAGGAAGTGGCTTATCCCATTTAAGTAATATCTTATCAATATCTTAGTCAGTCAGTCACTCACCCCTTCCTCTATCAATAACTATGTTAGTGGGGTTAAAGTGTTGCATGTCTTAGCAGGGTTTGAATTTGACCACACTAAGTCCTTTCAGCTTCGGCTTACCTTAAAGGGAATAGAACGTTTAGCTCAGCATTGCCCAAGTAAAGCTCCCCCGGTTACYCCCCTCATTTTACTACGGTTCATTAGAGTTTGTGATTTCTCTCGTGTTTACATAGCCTGATGCAAACACGAGGGTAGGTTGGGAGAATTCGAGACGGTTATGCAAACCCGAGACGAAGTCGAGGGTTTGCATAACCATCGAGAATTCTCCCAAGCTGCCCGAGTGTTTGCATCAGGCTATGTAAACACAGGGAAAAAGTTATCTATTGCTTTTATAAAATAACTCTTTTTTTCTAAAATATGGCTTTAAAAACTTTAGAATTCGAGTATAATTTTATGATCAAAACTAGGTTTCTCCTTACCTCAAACATTTCAATGGCTTTTTCAACCAGCCAATTACAGTTCACGTTTTAACGAAAGGCGAAGTTGGCAGTTTTGACAAAATGTGAAAAAAATGGCGGACGACGGCGGGCGACTTTCTTTCTTTCTTTTTTGCATCAAAATTGCCTATTTAGTGACCTTAGATGAATCATAGTAGTATCTCAATAAAATGCAAAATACTCACTAAATTCCTCAATTTTTAGCTTCATAGAAATATGTAACTTGCTTTTCACACGTTATTTACAATAATAAAGATGCAGTTAAGCTWATTACGTTTTTTATTTTTCACTTCCAGTTTCAAGTTGCTTTGTTTATTTATAGTTTATACCGAAGATTCTATGCACTCAAAACCTACAAGAAATAGTAAAACTTCATGCAGAATACTCATAACTAGTTGTTGCCAAGTTTTCGGATACATTTTTGTATAAATAGCTGATTTTTTTCCTATTCTACTTCTAGTTTTGAATCGCACTTGACAAAAAATGGTGACTAGACGTGTCAAAACCATGTTTACATACTCTGATACAAACACGGCAGTCGGCCAATCAGAACGTGCGTAGTATCCAAGTTATTTTATAATAAAGAGTGCTCAATACACATAAAGTGTAGAGCTAGTTATATATATGATTTCTAAAATATTTAGGATACTACGCGCGCTGTGATTGGTCGAAAACCATGTTTGATTACAGTTTCTAAAATATTTAGGATACTACGCGCGCTGTGATTGGTCGAAAACCATGTTTGATTACAGTATCAAAACACGCTCGCGCACGTCAAAAATTTTTTTTTTCCTTTAATTTTAGAAAAGAAATAAAAGACGAAATTCCGTGTTTGATTTAAGGAATAAAAGACGAAATTCCGTGTTTGATACTCTGATCAAAACACTTGGGATGTAGGGAGAGCACTCGAAAAGCTTTTATTCCTTAAATCAAAGAGGCAAGATTTTGCTGTAACTCCGAGTTTCGTGCTACGCACTCATCAGACAGTATTTAAGATTTTGCTGTAACTCCGAGTTTCGTGCTACGCACTCATCAGACAGTACTTCTGGGATAGATTTGTGCAATGAATTAATAGCACGCGTGGTATTTATTAATTGAACGAATTAAGAAAAAAATCACGGTTCGTCAGCCAATCAAAATCGAGAATTTTACGTAGGTGTGATATTAAGGGTAAAATTCAAGAGCAGTAATCCTACTTGCTAAGAATACTGTAAACCAGTTTATTATCAGCGTTTATTATGTGTTTTCAGGAATAAATCATTCTACTCTACTGAAGTATATGAATGACTAAGGTTGTTTATTGTTTCAAATTAGAAAAAAACCTAAATAAATGAATACATATATAAAGGCCATATATGAATATAATGTGAATATGGCTTCTAAGTGACATAGATT